ATCTTCTCACCATTTTTTCTTTCTACTACTGTTCCCTCCTCTTAATCCCCTCTATTTCTAACTTTAAGCCAATAAATGTGTCCACAAGCTATTCTGCTTTAGCATCTCAGCATCACTTCCCATCCAATGCCTGCCCTCTTCACCATCTCACTCTATCTTTTCTGGGGGGAAAATCCATTTGTTTACTAGGGTACCTTATCAGGGTACTGCTTCCCTAAGGAAGAATTTGCTGAGCTGCACTTAGTCTCTTCATCCTGTACTATCTCTCTCTCTCTGGTCTACATCATTAAGCTCCTGTGTTTTGAAATGTCCATGGAGAGGGATTAAGGACCCCTGCTATAGGTCCCAATTTGCCTCCTGATTCCACTTTCTATGAATGATATTGTACTGGACATGCTTCCACTCCCTGTGCATTAGCTTATTCTAAAATGGAAATGAGATAAAGTGTGTATGTATTCCATGGGTGCAGCTTGTAACACTCAGAAGCCTGCTCTCACCTTACCTGCCGAATAATGGTTTGCACTGGTCTAGACTGCTTCTTCTATTACAGGTAGATCCACCATAATCTGAGAGTTTAAAAACCCCAATTTTCTGAATTTCAAAACTTTTTCAGTGCCTATTGAATGCCAAAGGAGAAAATTCCACAATTCATTTTATACACAAAGTTATTAAAAATATTGTAGAAATATTATAGAAAATTACCACAGACTATGAGTAAGGTGTATATGAAACCTAAATTAATTCAGTGTTCCTACCTGTCCCCCCTCCCCAATATATTTATGGATGAGTATTCCAAACTCCTAAAAACTCAGAGATCTGCAGCCCTTCTGAATCCAAGCGTTCATATCAGGACACTTGTATTATTCTATTGTCCTTTATCACCATTATTATCTTTTCCAACACTACCTACTAATATATCAGATAATTTATGGTTTTGTATTTTGTTTTCTTGATTATTTGGTTTTTCTTTTACAGAACTTCCCCCACAGCAGTGGCTGGGTTTATAGTAATTGAATTAAAATTAATAGAATTCAAAGAGATTTGTTAATATAACCCCTCCCATCAAACTCGGAGATTTTTCAATCAATGTATTTATACCCACTAGATGTTTCTACAAGAAGAAGAGTTCCGGGTCATCAGCAAACCCTTGTTTGGGGATTTCCTCTGAGTCCATCCCATTTGCGTTAGATTCAAAGGCTCTTCAACTCAGTCCCTGAAGATACAAATACACATCTTCTGACCATTTATTAAAACCTTTTGTGTTCCCTTCCCATGTAACCAATATAGTGAAGGAGCATATCACTTGATCTGATGGTGTGTTTTTATCAATAAAATTGATGAGATAAAAAATAAAGAAAATTATAATTATTCCTTTAAAGGCCATAAATTTATTTACTCCCTTACAAAGTGCTAATAATCAAACTAGGTATGAGGACATAGTCCTATAATCCAAAGGCTGAGGCAGGAAGACACAAGTTCAAGTCTAACCTGGACCACAAAGTGAAAATCAGTCTCAAAAAGGAAATTCTTACAATCATAGAAATGGCAAAAGTTGTTAATCCCATCATATGTGTGATGTGTATGAGTTATTTTCTCTTTAAAACTAACATCTCTGTTGGGAATGTCCCAAATCACAAGGTCCTCATTACAGAAATGAGGACACTGAAGCTTGGCATCCTCTGTTCTTAATCTTTTCTCTCCAAATGAGAGACTGGCGACCGTGTTGAGTACTGTTAGGGTAAATTCTGTCCATTTGTCTTGGGATGAAGAAATCAGACCTACAGATATCTGCAGCACACATTGCATCATCTGCCTGAAGCATCAGTTCCTCTTTGTAAATAGAAACCAGTTGAAGCACTTAGCATTTAGTATGTAGCTCTCAGAGTAACTATCCATATTGACAGTCTTATCTTTATCCACTGATCTTTAGCTTTATACATAATTCTGTCCTGAGCTCTTAGACTGGCAATGGCTGTTCCCAGTGATTATTGAGTCACCTCTGTCATATGGACCTTAGGGAGTTCAGCTTGCTTAGTATTGTTGACTCTGTATCTCCCAGAATAACTATTTTGATCTTAGGGAACACTAACCACTTCTCTGTGCTGTGATCCTTAGCTTGCACTGGTTACATTTTTGTCTGTTTCCATGGTTTGTTTTGTCTTCCACTTCGGGAATATCCTTTCTACCACATTTTCTATATTTTTCATTCTTAGTCTCCCTTACCACTCATGGTCTTTTCACTATCATCTAAACTTAAACAATGGGGCCCCAAATACAAATTGCATTCTTGAGTTTATCTAAACAAATAACATTAGCAGCATGTTTTCACATTTTTGTAAGTATTAATTTTGAGACATGTATTGAGGTATTTTGAGATAAATAAGAGTGTGTGTGCATGCAGTCTTCCTTGCTGTGTTTATATCCCATAGGTGGATACATACAGACATTTCTATACAACATCAAGAACTTATAAAAATAGTGGTGATTCTCCTTTTACAATCAATAAAAATATGTGAACATATTTATGTGGCATCATATTTCAGATGCCTTTCTTTACATGTAGAAGCTACTTATGGATGAACTTTTATAAAAATAAGGGGATGATATATGTAGATTTAAATTTCTTTTTTTAAGCAGATCTAGGTTTCTGTGTCTTCATGTTTATTACTGTGTATAAAATTACAAGTCTGATATGTGCTTTTTCCCCCCTTGGGTGATAACTTTTCTTGAGTACTCTGAAAGTTGCCAAGAATCTTAGTTGAAGAATTATGACTGTTTGTGTATAAGGGAAAATTAGAAGTTTACCCTGAAAAAGAAAAAAAAAAAGCTTACCCTAAAATGTAGAAAAAGGGATTTCATATAGAAATTAATTTTAAAACCTGATTCTTCTCCAAAATTTTAGTAGTTTTGAATAAGACTGAATAAAGTATAAGATTTACTTTGTTGATTGTAAAAATACAAGATTAATAATTACTAAAATAGTATTATGGATCAAATTTATTACTTTTACAGGACAAGTTTTTAGTAGACTTAAATAAATATTTATAAAATAAAAAAATGAATTTCATGGCAGCCAATATCTATAAAAGCCATTTGTGAGCTGAAATCTTGTAGTCTGCCCTAGACTAAACACTAATATTTTCAAGCTTCTATATTAAGTGTGGGTGATATCCATGGGTATACAGATGCTTGATACATTTGTCAGGAGGGAGTTGTGGTGGGCAAAACTCTAAAAATTATAAAGGGAAAGGTAATAATGTCTTAGTGGCTAAAAGAAGAGCTTAGTGTCAGTGTTTAAACTTTTTAAATCAGTATCTTTGGAGATGGTCTTCTTTCAGTGCTTATATTTAGCTGTACATCTATTATTATATGAGAATTACTAGATTGGATCATCAAACACTTTACAAGTTTCTGTGCCTACCAAGTGTTTTGCATTCAGGCTTACAGTGTGCATCAATGTCCACCCAGACATATCTATGTTCGTGTCTGTGCTTATTCACATAGAAACAAGTCCTTTGTTCTATATCGTCATGCTAAGGTTTGCTTGGTTTGTGATTTTTCTTGCAGGCCTTTTATACAGCCTGCTTGACTGAACAAGTTGAATGTATCGACGGTATCTGAGTGAAGATCATTTGAAATTTATTATCAGTTTTGAAATTGCATCATCTCCCTGAAATGCCAGAAACTGTCTTGCTTTATTTTACTTTATCATTTATTTTTAGTTCTTACTGATAATGGGGTTGCAAGGAAAACGCATTAACATAAGCCTGATCTACTGACTAGCATATACTTAATGTATTTATTTTAGATTGCTGATAATTAAAAAAAAAAAAAAAACTTTTGCTGGGTGAATTCATCAGACACTTTGTTTTCTTAATGCTGTTCTCAACTTTTCAGCCAGAAGCCAAATTTTTACCATTTTCAATATGGAGCAGCAAAGTATCTGAGGCAGTTGTGGCTCTTAATTTGACATCCAGTTTCAGGTCATTTTCATGTAAATGGAAAACAATGAAATGTGTTTATAGTTTCTATAAAGGGGATGCTTGCTTCAGCTTTGTCATTTTCCTCTGGCAACTTTGTTTTCTCTCTCTCTCTCTCAGATTAAAGGAACCAATAATTGTTCACAGTTATGATTTTTTATCTTGACAAAAACTCATTAGCTCCACTCCTTATGACCTGGACGCTAACAGCACATTCTATATTTCAGTCATACACACTCCCTATTAGTGTTTCTCACTCACCCTTTCCTAAGCTGAGCAAGGTTAGGCAGGTCAGCCTTCCTATAATACATTTTCTCTGGTTTTTTGCAACCTCTCTTTCGGCCTTAAAGATAGAAATAAATAAATAAACCAAGAGGTGAAAACTTGGAATTTTTCCATTGAGGACAACTGATGCAAGCTTTGATTTATATTGCTTTGAACATGCCCAACTGTGTTACCAACTGTGGCTTCCCCTGCCATTATAAACTGCAATCCAGTGCAGTTTCTAATAATTTTATTTCATTTTTTACCCTTTTCTTGGAAAAAAATCCTAATTCAAGCCTAAGCAATAGATACGCTTTTTATTCTTAGTGTATCTAAGAATTTTTATTCCTAGTGTATCTTATTATATTCTTAGTTGTCTAAGAAACAGATACCCTTATTTCTATGTACATATGGCCTATACAGTCATTTTCAAGAAAGTCTCATCAGGGAGAGATTTCATTCTGTGGACCTTTTTTATCTCTCTTGATTTGTGCAGCTTAAGTGGGAGGCTGTTTTAGTAGTGAGTTATTTCTCAACTTTCTTTTTTCAAGGAAGATTCAAATAAGAAATCAGAGAGTCTTTTAACATGCTTATTCTGTGGATCTTCGAAACACATCAGCAAACCCCACACTCCTGACTCGCCATAGATGTGGAAGTCACAGTAGTTGATAGTCAGGGAAGGTAAGGGTATTGTGGGTGCATTAATCTGGTTTTGAGCTAAAACTCATGTGTGTTCCTGTTTTTGCTCTGCCCCAGTGATATGACAAGAGCGGTGGAGATTTCTGGGGAAGGAGACCCCCTGGGAATACATGTGGTACCCTTCTTTTCATCTCTGAGTGGACGGTAAGGTGTTTTCCTTGTCTCAGAAGCTCATGCTAATGAAAACCCTGATGAAGGCCTTTTCCAGGAGCAACAACTGGCAGTCTCTATCAGAGCGACTCCTTCAGTAATAGTTTGGTTGGCTTCATGCTTTAGAGACAGTCTAAAAATCATTTATTTCCAGGATGCAGAGAAAAAAATCATCCCAATCTCTCCACTTACAATTAATTATGAAGTGCTTTCTTGGAGCATCCTTGAGAGTGACGCATAGTAAACAAGCTCCTCGGCAAAGATTTTTAACATATTGTTAGACAAATGTCACAACTGAGTGGGTTTTTCTTTTACCATTATAAAATATTCTTCAATGAATGAAGATAGTAATTCCAATTTCTTCATATACATAGGACTAAGACCAATAAGCATTCCCATTCTAGTAGTGATTTAGTTGTAGAAGAAAAATGTGTCTTTCTGTTAATTTTTTTTCTAAAATACAGTTCAGATCACTAAAGAATTCATCACATCCTTTTGGAATTTTAAAGACATTTGCTGATAAATCCATACTGGCAATTTAAATTGTGGCAATATGTCTTGAAATCCACATCTGACTGGATATAAAAATCGCTTTTACTTATGGGAATGAAGTGGGTGCCACAGAGCTGGCAATTCAGTTGGCTGTATAGAAGGAGAAGTGGCTTTAGTCATGATATTTGGGTTGGCATCATCTTCAGCAGGTAGCCATCTGCTACCTGTAATTGCAAAGTCATCACCTTAGTTTTCTCCCATATAACATCTGACGGCAAGCTCTTGCTGGAACGAACTGTCTCTAAAAAGAAGTGAAGTGGAAAGCCAGTGGCTTTTTTGTCTGGTTTCCTGTGTGTGTTAATAAGTGTGTTTATATATGTTATGGGTTATGGCAGAGGACAGACCAGGGTTGTTTTTGACAGACAAGGTGAGTATTTATTCAGTTCCCATGAGAAATCCTAATGGCTTTTGGCAGAAGTGTACTGATAGGGCTCTGTGAAATACCAGAGTGGTTAAATTGCCAGGCCCTTTAGTTTAATGAACCTGGAATAGAACAGAGGATCTATGCAATTCCCCAAAATGAAAAAAATATCCACAGTGACACTCACCATCCTTCATTCTCAATAGTTCAGAAAACAAGCTCGCCCTCCAGATGAGAGATCCCCTCCTCTCACTTCCGATGAGGACAGGATATATTGATCTCCCCTTCTTCTTTGGGGTTCTGATTCCTAGCACATGTTCTCCTCACATAACCTCCAGCTAGCCCCTAAACCTGTCTGTATAAAGATCTCCCTCACCTCAAGGTTATGGGGATTAAATGACATTAAAAACATGACAGCTCCTTGTAAAACCCACTACCTATGAATGCAGAAATTGTCAGTGTAATGATTGTTTGGGATAAAGCAGGAACAGTCGGCTTCACAAATGAGGGTTCATTTAAACTCATGGTCAACTATACAGCAACTTGAAGAAATGGTTCTATTATATTTTGGGGTATCCACTACTGATATAGAAAGGAAATTTAATTTAAAATCATATGGAAATAGAGACACGAGCCAATAAAAGTTAAGAAGTAATGAGTACAGGCTGAAACAGCACACTTAACTCAACCCATGTGTCTTGATGTAATGGCCTATAGAGCCTGTCAGACAAGTGTCTGCCTTCATTCTGCCATCTGGCTTCACTGTGTGAGCATGGGGGCTTGCTTAGGTCACAGTGCTGTGCTTTAATTTCCTTCCATTTATTAGTTTGTTTCATTATTTTAAATTAGAATTTACATTTAATTCTTTATTAAGACTACTATAATTGGCTTTGCATCCAGTGTTTTGTTTTGTTTTTCATTAAGAAAAATATGGCCACACTTGTTACTAAATGAGAAACTTGTTCTAAGAACATCTGAATAAAATCTGGGGGCTACTGTGTGAACTGAAGTCCCCAGGAATTCATTAGATACCAGCGCATGGGGACGCTGGATAGTGCTTGTGTTGAGGGCCATTGGCCTTCCCAGTTTTGTTGGTTTGTTTGTTTTGTTTTGTTTTAGGAAAGAAAATAAACACAAAACCCTAAGTCCTTACAAACAAATGAAAAATCACAACATTTGTTTTTAAATGTCAGTTAAATTTAAAGAATTAAAACACTAATTTTTTCACTGAAAATAGATAACGCACTTCCATTTCATAATAAAGATACCTCAACAGCTACAGATCAGAGGGAAGGAAGAGATTCCCAGTGTGAGGAAAGAAGTTTGAGTGGCAAGCAGTGAGTTAGCAGGATGGCGCAGCCACAGGATTCAGTGGGAACACAGGGCTGGCACAAAGGTCAGGCACAAGAGTCTCAGCGATGATTAAATGAGCAAGAAGCAGTTGTCAGGCCCCTTAACCTGCTGGGAGATTGAATTTTGAGCATCCTTTTACACTATCAATAGTTGTCTTACCCTATGATTGCACCACTAAGCATTAATTGTTAAGTCCGTTAAGTTTTTATCTCAAATAAAGCAGCTATCATCCCACCAGTAAGTAAAAGTAGATAGTGTTTTATAAGCTTCCTCACAGTGGTAGAGATGACGTCATACTGCAGGGAATTTACCCCTTCCAGATAATAGGGAGGATGGGATGGGTTTGTTGCTGGAGACCAAACTAATGAAATCAGTCAGTTTTACATTTTACCAAAATTACCTCTGACACACAGGTTTTACAGTTGGGCTTATTCTGTCAATAAATTTTTCATGGGAAGTTGGGTTATTTAGATCAGCGAGGTTCACATAGCATGCTCCAGCTGTAATATGCTAGCTAAATTGCAACCCAGTGGCCTGAAAGAATTAATTCATCTCCCAAAATGTGAAATTAAATCCTAGGGAGTAACATTACATGACTGATGATGTACTGAATTAAATTAAAGGAAGACTTGAATGCTTGTTAAAAAAATATCACTTACATAAACTAGTTTATAACCACACGTGAGCCTCCTAATGGATCATGTTATGGGGATGCCACCGTAACAAAAATCTAAACTTCGAACTATCAGAGAGCAGTTTAATTTAGAAGAAAGCACGATTTTGATCTAATTCTCCCTTCTTCATGTCAAATAGTTTCACATTAGTATTGTGCTGGGAAAGGAAGGTTTCTCGATTATGTCTGATTAATTTGGTAAAGTTCTAGAGCGAGGGGATGAAGCCAGAGACGCCGCCCACACTTGCCAGGATGCCCTGGAGCCCTTCCTTGCAGTACTTGGGGAGACTACCACTTGCTCAGCAACAGCAGCAAAGGCCCACTGTGCTGATTTAACATTTCTGAAGGAGGAGCCTGAGTTTCATTGTGTGCACCTTGTCTGTTGGAACCTTGAGATCCTCTGAGTTCATTAAATGAACTGAAGCCAGAGGCAGAGGCTCAATTTTTTGGCCATCCAGAGAAGGTCCTTTCTCCTGTGCTTTCATTACAGGCTGCCCTTTTTGCTCAGCTGACCTTATCATTTATGCTTAAAATGTGCTCATATTTTATTTAGATTTGAAATTTAACACAAAAGGGACTATGTAATATAGCACACTAGGCTCTTATTCAAAAAAAGGTGACTAAACAGAATAATAAGGGGACAGGTTTATACGGAGACTGCAGTTTCTCCACACCCTGCAGTTACCTCTGGAGTCACATCTCTCTGTCTCAGTGTGACACCGTGAGGCCTGTGTCAAGCCACAAAGATAAAGGACATCACCAAAGTGAAAAATGGCTAAAATCAGTAGAGGTTCCATTTCTTGTGGTAGACTTAGTTTTAGATTCATGAAAGTGATAGAGATCACATGTGTGAACACACATAAACACATATGCACATAGAGCCTGCATGTGAATTTGAGAATCTGTGTCCACATTATTCCCAAACAAAACAGCAGGTTCCACCAACTGCAGTCTGAAGATACCAATAAAATCTCCTATCTGTACTGAATGCATACAGACATTTTTATGTTATTATCCTCTACACATTACATTAGCTATTTCCATAGCATTTACATTGCATTGGATTTTGTGGGTAATTTAGAGATAATTAAAACGTAAAGAGGGATGCAAATAGTACAGCATTTTTCATAAAGGATTTGAGCATCCACAGAGTTTGGTACCCAAAGGGGATCTTGGATACTCCATGGATATGGAAGAATTGTAGAGGAAATGTAACTATCATTTACTATAGTTTCCTTTTTATTTTATTTCCTTTTCAGTCCCTTCCCCCTTCTGACACCGATTTAAAAGTCCAAAGCCCCTGGGTATCCTCTCTGAATGCGAGGCTGGTCCTGATTTTTGATGTTTGTTTCCTTTTTAATAAGCAAATGACTAAACCATGTAATAGGACTGCAAAACATGCTGGCAATGTCTAATCCTCTCACCTCACCAGCACCAAGTTTCTACCTTGCCACTCAGGCAGGCTGCCTTACAGTCAATTGTGATGCCTCCTCTCAGCTGCTAGCCTTTCTTGGTATAGTCTCCATTGAGCCCTACTGGTCTTTCCTAAGTTCATGGCAAATGTATTATTTATGATATGAATATTTGTCTTCTGGTAAAAGTGTGTGCATGTGTGCACCTGTGAGTGTGTGAGCCTGTGTGTGTGTGTGTGTGTGTGTGTGTGTGTGTGTGTGTGTGTTTGAAAGATGAACCATTTGGCTAAATAGAAGCATAATCTGCTTGGTAAACAAAAACCAATACTTATTTCTGAATAGCTGCAAGAGGAGAAATAATGAGGACATTGTTACTCGGAAGTTTTATTTCAATCTAAATGTTTCTAGGATCCTCGGACTCTTCATCCGAGGCATTGAAGAAAACAGCAGGTGCAAACAGGAGGGACTGTTTCAGGAAAATGAATGCATTGTAAAAATCAACAATGTGGAACTCCTGGACAAAACTTTTGCTCAGTAAGCATCTTTTCATTGTTTATTTACTTTATTATTCTCTTGAATATTTATAATCATTATTGAGCTCATTATGACCCAAATCATAGGTGGAATGTCAAGCCAGGTCCCTTTAAGTGACCCTTGACCATCCATTTCTGGATTCATTTTATATCTTGACATACTCAGAGGTGGCCAACATATGTGCCCAATGTCTACAGAGGTTGAGACACAGAATGCAAGGGGCCTTCCTGCCTGCCTGTCTTTCTGGGGCACCCATAAATGAAAGGGTTTGTTTTTCTTGGGCTATGGGTCAGTTAGACTGGTATTTACCACTGGCTCTTTTCACAGACAATTAATTCAGATTATTAATTAACATCCTTGATTCAGTCTTCCTTAAACTGTAAAAATCTGTGGGTGATGTCTATGAGGACTCGATGAATAATAGAAACAAATTGTAAAAAAAGTGAATTTAAAATGTTCTACCTCAAGAAACCATATTTCTGAATGTGAAAAATATTACGGGGAATACATGTTTCTCCCCAGGAATTATAATATGGAAAATCCAGCTGCATCTAGCTATCCATATCTACATATAAAAACATCCATATTGATGGGCATTGCCATTTTTGAGGGATTCTAAGTTAGGCACATAAGTAGTAATGATCTTTATTAATAATCAGTAGCCTATCTGGCCTATGAGCCAAACTGCTCATAACACAGCATCTCTCTGGCCATTACTTATCAATATTGGGGGCTGGTGGCTGCCAGTGAAAGGCATGTAGCACTGGCTACTATTAAGGCATAGAGTGAAACGATGTCTTCCTAAAACAATTTATTATATTCAGCTATTATTGAGCAGAATTATGATAGTTATTAATAATTATGTTATTTGCATATTTTGCTGCCCTGTATTGCAAAGGCTAGGGAGCTCAATGGTCCCTGTTTTACCAAAGTAGAAACTGAGTCATAAAACACCCGACTTAGAGTCAAGTAAAAATAATCAATTCATCCTCTGATTTTTTTAAAAAGGATTTAAAATCACTTTAAATGTGTGCTTCAGTAATTAATTCTAGTAAGATTTTCCTACTTAGAAACACTTGAAAGCTAGAAGTTGTCAGTTAAGTTCTTTAGTCTGTCTGAGCATCCACTTGGGTTTGTTAAATATAAGCCAATTACATTTGCTTTATGTAGTTGTTAAGAAAACTAAACTAGAGGATTCTACATGGTCATCCTGTATGTGTACCTAGTGTGAAGGCACTGTGGTGGGCAGGTAGTAAGCAGTGAGTGGGAGCTCCTTAGCAGAGTCACACTGTAGTGATAACCCCTCCGGTACTATGAGGCTGCGTACCTTAGAAAGTGGTTTGCCAGAACTCAATATCATTCTGCATTTATTCACTCTTTCAAGGGCCCAGGATGTCTTCCGCCAGGCAATGAAATCCCCCAGTGTGGTCCTCCATGTGCTTCTGCCTCAAAACCGTGAGCAGTATGAAAAAGCAGTCATTGGACCACTGAACATCTTTGGCAACAGTGATGGGGCTTCAAGAACAAAGGTTCCACCTCCTACCCGTGGGAAACCAGGATTAAAGGCAGTAACTCTGACAGGAACAAACAGTCCTGAAGCAGATGAGTCAACTTCCCCGCAGCAAAGCAAAAGCCCCCGAGTTCCAAGAATAGGAAGAAAAGCTTCATCTCCCTCACTCTCCCCTCTCATGGGGTTTGGCAGCAAGAAAAATGCAAAAAAAATTAAGATTGACCTAAAGAAAGGTAATTATTAAATTGTGCTTAATAGCATTCTATTATTGTACCATGTAAAACTGGTTAAGAGAAATTCATTAAGGTTAATGTAGTTAAGTCTCTTTTTATTTAATCGTATCAAAGAATACATTTGAATGTATACTTGGATAACTTAATCTTTTTAAAAAAACTGTAGTACTTTCTTCTTTTCTTCTGCAAAGTTTATATTATTTGAAACAAGATGATCATGAGGAATGGAGAGAATCGGTGCAGACTTTATAGAAGCCAAGCAAATTTTGTGACAGCTCAATACTGAGTAGTCATGGAAGTTGATTGTCTTCATTTGGAGCATAAGTTAGTGGTTGCTTTAAAAGGCATCCTCTAGGCCAGTTCAACAATAGGGCCTCGGGCTCTCTAGAATGTTTTTTACATCACTGAAAGGTTTAGTCTTCAGAAAGACAATAGATAATGATTATTAATTTCAGATTCAACACTACATTTCTTGAAGATAGTCCAAATTTCAAGGCTGCATGTAACCTTTCTTAATCTTTTTCAACTTTTTGTCAATTTCTAGTGCAGAGCAAGTATCCTGGCCACGTGTGTACAAACATATTGGTACAGCATTATTGTACACATGCCCATGTATCCATGCACTCTTGTGTTCCTGTTCATTCCCTACTTATTCCTTACCCACCTCCCACTGTAAGTTCCTAAAATCCTGTGGTTTCTCAAGCCAATTCAAAGACTCTCACAGGTTTTTTCACTAAATTAATAATTTAACGACCACCAGGAAACTTTTTTTAATTCTTTAATTACTACTCATATTTACATATCCATCCCCCCCATTCCCCTGCCCTCCCATTCTCCCATGTTCCCCACCAACCCCCTCACCCACCCCCCTAATACTCCCCAGGGATAGTGAGGCCCTCCACAGGGGACCTTCAAAGTCCATCATATCATTTGGGAGAGGGCCTAGGCCCTCCTTGCTGTATCTGGGCTGCAGTAGTATCCCTCCATAGGGAATGGGTTCCCAAAGTCCATTTGTGCTCTAGGGATAAAGACTGGCTCCACTGAAAGAGGTCCCATAGACTATCTTGGACTCCTAACTGGCACCCACTTTCAGAGGTTCTCCATGCTATCAGTAAGTCAGGTCCACTGTTTCTGTGGGTTTCTCTGGCCCCATCTTGGCTCCTTTGCTCATCCCTCCTCCCTCTCCACAATTGGACTCCAGTAGTATGGCTCAGTGCTTAGCTGTGGGGGCCTGTTTCTGCTTCGAACAGCTACTGGATGAAGGCTCTAGGAATGGTAACCAAGGTAGGCATCAATCTCATTATAGGGGAAGGGCATTAATGGCATCCTCTCCACCACTGCCTGGCTTCTTAGTTGGCGTCTTCCCTGTGAATCCCCTATCATTTTCCCTGTGCCAGACCTCTCTGCAAACCTGTACTGTCTCCCTCTATCAAGGCATCTCCTTTCTTACCCTCCCCTATTCCTCCCCTGTCTCAGTCCTCTTGTTCTCGCCCCTCATCCCCTTCTTCCCTTCCCACCTCCTTCCTCTCCCCCCTCTCACTTTTGGTCAGGGGTTCTTGTCCCCATCCCCTTTTTCAAGAGACTATGCAATCTTTCTCTTGGGGTCCTCCTTGTTTCCTAGCTCCTCTGGCAGTGTGGATTGTAGATGGACCTTAAAAATTATCTTATGAAGATGATACACAACAGGAAACTTTTAGACATTGTGAATTTCAAAAAGAACACATAGATGTCATTAGTATATAGAAATTATTCTGCAAAAATTTCTCAATCAAAATTTTATTCACTTATAAAAATATTATCTTGGGAATAAAGTGAGTTGAAAAGAAGGCACAGAGGTTGATACACATATTTTTAAATCATTACAGTAAGTCATGTCCAAATACATTATTGTATACCAGTAACCTACCAATATATTTGAGTTAGGTGCTTTAAGATAAGAGAGATGAATCATTCACAGGGTCACCAAAAGATATCCTGAAGAGGAGAGCCAATCAACAAGGATGCATTGCCTCTGTCCACATGTGAAACCATAATAGGCATGCCTTAATAGATAAATGGCTATAGGAAGGAAGAAAAAAATTACAGTTTTTGCTGGGGTTTTCAGCCAGGGCAAATTTGCATACTGGAAATGTCATTGATTGAAATTAGGATTTTAAGTAGATGAGGATATTTGATAATGGCAGGATCTGGATTGAAGAGGGAGAAACACAGCAAAGTTTGAAATATTCATAGTAATATTCAGGAGAGAGAGAGAAATGTGGAGACACAGAAAGATGAAGCGGTGAGAGGAGAGAGGACAAGTGAACCAAAGAGATGCTAGCTCCATCCCATTAGGTAATGATAATGAATCAAAGAGCTGAGAGACTGGGGGGACAGTGGTGTGAGTTCTAGGGGGACAGACATGGTTGAATGAGAGAGAGACGAAAATAAAAATGTTAAAAATCAAGGGAGAGCTAATTTCTGAAAATGATAATTAGAAAGTATCAGAGATTGATAGGAAATAAGGCCAAGTATGGAAGAACTCTTGGCCATGGTCATAGGAAGTATGTCTATCAACTTTCTAAAACTATAAAAAGAAATATGAAATAGTAGGAGGTTTGGGAGCTCAAATTTTGGAAGTTTCAGTCCAGAGCTTGTTGGCGGGGTGCTTTGGAAAAAAAGCAAAGCAATGGAGCATGATGAGAATGATAGAACAAGCCTCTCACTTTTGCTTTGGACCTAAAGCAAAGCAATGGAGCATGATGAGAATGATAGAACAAGCCTCTCACTTTCTAGCAGCCCAGAAGCAAAGAAAGAGAAGCATGAGGGGGGAGGGGGACCATAGCTCCTTGTGTTCCATATCCCTAATGGCATGCCACGTGTCCCTAACATCCTTCTACAGGCTCCATTCCCTAAAGGTTCTACCACATCCCAGTGTGTTACAGGCTGGAGGCACAGCAGACTTTACTCATGATGGAAGCTTCAAGGTTGCTTACAGTTAAGAAATCTGCATATATCTTTAGACAGGGTTGAAGGAAGAAGTTGGAGATTTAAGGCAACTGGGAAGGGACAGCAAGAGTCTTTGGGGACAAGACAGTGGCTATAGCAATGAAGCAATCAGGACATGTGCAGAGGGTTGAGCCACAAACTATTCATTTGATTGAGAGACCCACAAAACTCCAATGGAGGAGATCATAGGCTTGGGAGGAAAGATGAAGTCAAGGGTAGATTACTGAGGAACTGATACTATGGACATATGGATGTCATACATTGTCTTCTAGAACCTGAATTAACAAAAGTGTTCTATGTATATATTGGATCCTAACTTCACTTTGATGCTATCATTGCCTGTTCAGAACTGTCATCCTTATTTAAAACAGGAAAACCGAGGGCTGTGTAAAAATCTCCTGAAATGTAAATAATTGACTTGATCTGCTTTAATGTAAACTAGGCAGAGTTTACTAAAGGAGTGAGTGTAATGCAACCAGTGTTTAAGGAGACAATATATCTTTCTGGTCTTGCATGCTAGGCCCTGAAGGACTTGGTTTCACTGTAGTAACCAGAGACTCTTCTATACATGGTCCTGGTCCCATTTTTGTAAAAAACATCTTACCAAAGGGAGCAGCAATAAAGGATGGCCGCCTACAATCAGGAGACAGAATATTGGAGGTAAGAATTGAAGTTAATGTCTTCAGTAAAATGTTTCTTTATATTTAAGTAAATAAACACAGAGACATGTGGTGATCCTTTGTTTGTGATCTAACAAATAAATCTTACCTGAAGATCAGAGTATAAAGCTAAGCCACTAGTTAGCCATACAGGCAGTGGTGGTGCACACCTTTAACCCCAGCACTTAGGAGGCAGAGACAGATGGATCTCTGTGAGTTCAAGACTACCCTGGGCTACATGAGATTGATCCAGTCTAAAAGAGAAACAGAGTCAGGTGGTGGTGGGTCACACACCTTTAATACCAGCACTAGGAAGGGATATGGCTGGGCAGAGAGAGGAATATAAGGCAGGAGGAGACAGAAGAGCAGCCATTCAGTCTGAAGATTCCTAGAGATAGGATCATTCAATTGGTCTGAGGATTCATAGGGGCAGGATCACCGCTCTGGTCTGAGGATTTAGTAGAGGTAAAAACTAGTGTCTGGCTGCTCTGCTTCTCTGATCTTTTAGCATTAACCCCTATATCTGACTTCAGGTTTAATAATTAAGACAGTCACTTGCTATCTCTTTTTGGTCCCAGTACCCTCTAAAACTACAAACATGGCATTGTTTTTGCATATAAATGATGCATTAAAGTGTCAATTTGTACAGAGGAAGCAGACACACATACACACACACACACACACACACGCGCGCGCGCGCGCGCGCGCGCGCACATGTACAAGCACACGCGCATACACACACACACACGTAACAACAATCAGTGAAAAGAGAGGCAAGGTGGGATATATGAGAAGGCAAAGGTTTGGAAGATGGAAAGTTAAGGTGAAATGATATAATTAAAATCTCAATAAATAAGAGAAAAAATTGTCACCTACATGATTTATAATATCTAACACAATCCAAATGCTACTTAAACAGTATGTCTTATTTAGAAAATGATGACAAAAAGGTTTGCCAGTGTCCAGTATACATACAACTTTGTCAGTGTTTTTTTTTTATCTGAAGTTGATTAAATTTCTACTATTAAATTCACAGATATTGAGGGCTAGCTAGATATAAATGTTTAATTTCTAATGCAACATATATTGGAAATTAGTACTTGTAAACAAGATAATGACTTCAATTATAAAACCAGTTAATGAGATGCCTAACTGTAGATGTCCCCAAGATCAGAGATGTGGGACAAAATGCTAACATTTTCCTACTTCCTTCTTTCTTTTGCCTGTGGTATTTGAGTTAATTTAGGAGTTTATTAAATACTTAGTTGGAGCTAACAATTTCATACTCTCATGCAAGTCTCTGTAGTAGTTTCTTCAAAACTTTGAAGGGTCTCCTATCGTCACTGTCATATCCAAATCAGTATTATCTACACTAAGGCAGGAATAAGGAAGCTGAGCTGGTTTTTCATAGACAAGTATTTAAGTACCCATCTATGAGTCTTGTTTCTCCCACTGGTTACTGTCCAATACCATCATCATCTCAACAAGGAGCTTTGGACAGTCAACAGTGAGAGAATCTTGGTTGAGACTGACTGGTTTTAAATCTCCAATGCTTTGGAAAATTGCTTTCAAATATGCATCACTGAGAATGTATATTTTGGAAACATTTTAGCATTCCATGTAGTTCTAGATCAGAAAGGATGCTCCAACTGACAAGCGAAGCTCTGAGGCTGCTTTCCAATAACCTATGATAACCTGTTGATAACACTTTTCTAGGCAAAAGGAATATTTGGGACTACACCAAAATACTTGTACTTCCAGAGTAATTTGCCATATGATAAATAGTTCATTTCTGCCTGGTATATTGCAATCCACTTCATATCTACTTGATGAATTAATTTCTGACTCTTTTTAGTCTGATTTTTCCTCTTATAAAAATGCAATGAGTTAGGAAAAATCCCCACTGTAAAACAATTTATTGATTGAGTGTGTCTAGTATCAAAATTATGATGACCATTTTATTATTGAAATTTCTATGTTTGACCATGTACTTGCTATCATCTTTTCAAGCTTCATTGAATTCATGAACCCATGTGTTGCATACTTAATTCACAAAATAGAACTTAAAAAAGAAAACACTTAGGAGCTGTTCATGGTGGTACATGTCTATAATCCTAGCATTCAATAGCTCTGCCAGAAAGATCTGAGTTCAGGGACAGCCTTGGCTATACAGCAATAGCCTGGGCAACTTCAGCCAGACCAGTCTCAAATAAAAGGGACAGGGGAGGCAATAGGAAATATTCTGACTGTGGATATGTGTATGATTCTATCACTAGGTAAATGGCAGAGATGTCACAGGAAGAACTCAGGAAGAGCTTGTACTCATGCTGAGGAGCACCAAGCAGGGAGAAACAGTGTCACTGGTCATTGCCCGCCAAGATGGGAGCTTCCTGCCCCGAGAGCTGGTAATGTTCAAACCTCTGTCTCCCTGAGCTTTTAGTCCTGTGATTATTGTCCGTATGGAACTCATACTAGTTAGTACTGATGTTAAATTTAGGATGTGTTCAGAACAAACATTGGGTGTGAGTGTGTTATCCTATTTGGAGTTTCACACTTAAAGGAGTACTGATGGGGTATATATGTACAAAGGGCCTTGAGAGCACAAAGTCAAATAGATTTTGATAACAAATAGATATCCAAGCAATTGAGTAAAATATATGTTTGAACTTGCATTGTGAACTAGAATAGCAACATAGTTCATAGACCTCCTTTAATGAGTATTCCAAGTAGCAACTTAATGGGAGACATTGGTCACTGGGGAAAATGGGTGAGGAATATGCAAAACAATGGAATTCTATCTTTACATTTTTCTTTAAATCTACAACTGTTTTAAAATTAAAAGTTAACAAATAAGTAAGAGAAAAAATAACTTCAAAAGAGGTAATCCATACCTGGCACTGGGCCTGTTATTTGCTAGCATGTAGATCTAATAGGAGCATTATTTTTCCAAAGGGGGTAACTCCATTTAAATGTTATATGTATATATTTTAGGATGCTTCTACGTTAGTAGGTTTACATATGACTTTCTCCAAAGGTCTTTAGAGTTAGTTGTCTCTCCTCATTCTTCTTCCTCAACTCTTCTAAACACACCCAGTTTAAGCATTTCAATTTCATTATCCCACATCCCTTACGCACTGTATTATATCCCCCTTCCCTTGAAAACACTCCTGAGCATGCGCGCGCGCGCGCGCACACACACACACACACACACACACACACACACACACACACACACACGCTATCGTGGTCTTTTAATACTGTTTTGACTTCTGTGGGGTTTTCTAAAGGAAACATGCAAAGCTAAAAATTTGAAGCTAGCATGTATATATGAAAGGAAACATGACATTTGTCTTTCTGGATCACCTCACTCAGGATAGTGGTATGTGATGTGTGTATTTATTTATAAGCTCCATTACCTTTAAATTTCATAATTTTGTTTTTCTTAACGGATGAACAATGTTCCATTGTATAAACGGATCACATGTTCATTATCTATTCAACACCTGATGGACATCTAGGCTGTTTACATGTCCTGGATATTGTGAATAGAGCAGCAATTAACAGAAATGAGCTGGTATCTCTCTAGTAGGAAATAGAGTCCTCTGGGTATATGGCCAAGAGTAATAGAGCTGGATCATGTGATAGATGTATTTCTATCTTTTAAAGGAACCTCCACACTGAATTCAGTATGGTTGCAGCAGTTTCATTCCCAGCAGCTAGGAATAAGTATCTGCATTTCCCCATATACATACCACTTGTTGTTGTTGTTGTTGTTGTTATTAATATTATTATTATTATTATGTTGTTGTTGTTGTTGTTGTCTTTTATTATTAGTCATTCTGACTGTAGGTGTTATTGGCCATTGGGGCTGCATAGACCAACAAAGCTATAATGTATTGTCATTACTCTTGGTCAACCTCCAGAACTTGGCAATAAGACACTATTGCTGAAGATACCATATACTTGACTGATAAAACATAGAGAAATCAATTTGGTACTAACCTGACTAGTACTGAGTAGTGACTAGCTTCCATAGTGCTGGAAGGTGCTCTGCATGCTTCCAGAGGAGAAAAGTCATCATTAGTCTTACCTGTATCTGTGATCCTGTGAGCTGCAATAATGAATGACCTTGCAAAATATGCTTACTGGCGAATGGTTTAGAAGTAACCAAGCACTTTCTGATTGGATTAAATCCTGATCCACAAGAAGTAATCCATACCTGGCACTATTAGAACCTGTATTTACATAGGTCGTAGATCCTACTAAATGGACATTGTATTAAACCAGCTCCCAAGGATTTACAGCTATACCCACAGATTAGTGCATCTCTCAACTCTCATCACGAAGCTGCTTCCTGTAGTAGATGATGATGATGAGCACAGAGAGCTACAACTGGTCAACTTGATAAGAATAAGAGACTTCAGAGTCCCCAGCACCAAATGAACTTCTGTCATACATCCCCACAAAGCTCAGGGGTCATTGTGGAAGAGGGGGAACATAAAAATTAAAAGCCAGAAGCAATGGGTGATTCCAGTGTGTAATGAAACAGTGTTTTCTGAACAAAACAGCAGTTACTCATGTGAACTCATAGCTGTTATGACAGCATGCACAGAGACTTGTACAAGCTCAAGACAGACTAAAGTCCGTCATGGAGTGGGGGACTGGGCAGGAAGCTTTACCCCTAGCCAAATAACTGTTGTCAATTGATAACTTCTTGGAGAAGGAGCATAAGTTCTCTTTAAGGCTGTGAACACGGGAGGACAATCATGATCCAAGGGTTGGCCCTATACCCCAGAGTATTTAGGCAACAGAAATTGGGGTTAGTGGGGTTTTGAAGAAAAAAAAAGAAAGGAAGAAAAAGAAGACAGGAAGGTAGATAGTTAGGAGTTGGGGTAGATCAAACTATATTGTATAAAACTCTCCCTTTAGTCAGGGGGACAGGAGTCATGAGAAGGATAAAAAGTTATTTTTTTTTTTTTTTAGTTTTGAGTCTGTCATGGATTAGTGGTTTTGTTTTGTTTTGATTTTGGCAGTGGATAGGTGTATAAGATATGTTTGATACCAAGAGTGTAAAATTTAATATGAACTTCCAGTTATTCTGAATGTTCTGAATGTCTTTTCTAACTGTATCAGTATTTATTAAGTTGTATAGAATTTGGGTCTGGTTAATTGTGGTGTGTGATGCTTTTATTTACTTATTTTTTATAATAAAGCATATAAAATTAATTTAAAGATAGATTCTTAAAGAATGAAGAAAATGTTACTTTAAAGAGAAAAATTAAAAGAATAGAAATAAAAATATGCTTCAGTGTTCAGAATGGACATGAAGGTCATGAAGAGATCTGCAGAGCACTGCAATTACAGTCCATGCAGGAATTCATCCTGTTCTGAGCTCTGAGAAAGGTGTCTTAAGAGAATTTCAAGTCCTTCAAAATGAATCTCCTCCCACCCAGAAACTACTCATTTGGTAATTTTTAATTACTGATCAAGAATGTACCAAAATTCATGTACATTGACCTTTTCCCTCATAGCATGTTTGATGTGTACAACTACAAGCTATTGGTTAGATAAATAACTATATATTTCTCCAATGAAATGTAAGTGCTACTTAAAATGGTGTTATTGAAGAATTGTTTGTCATTTGAGAAAATCTATAGCATACTGCTAATTAAGATGTAGACCACAAAATTATATATGGGAAATTATCTAATTATATTAAAGGCTTGAAAAATAATTGGGAAGAAACACACCTAAAGTTTTATATTTGTTAACAATGAGAACATTTATTTATTTATTTGTTGAAACCCTTGGCTTTTAGAATGATTACAGAGAGTGTAAAAGGTCTTTTATTCCTAAGAACAACAAGAAAAAGATGCTGTGATCAGAAGGACTCTTGGTTGCCTCTTGTTTTGAATTCCTATTTCCTCTGAATCTGTAAGGAACTGACGAGTCTTATATAAGTAGCAGGATAGGTTGCCAGAGTTAAATGAGCAATCCTGGAGGTTCAGCTGGGGGAGTAGTAGCTACTGAAGAGGCAGTTTAGAATACCTGTTATCAAATATGTGAGGTGTGTTGTGTGGATTGGAAAATGAACTTACTGCCTTTCCTGAAATCATTAATCAACTTTCCCATCAATTCAACAAATGACCTACTACCTTCTCAGTACAAACTTGGAGATTTTAGGAGTAAAAAAGCAATTCAAACTCATTTTCAGCTCGTATTGAGCTTGTCCCAAAGCAAATGATTGGGAGAGGGTAAAGTTATAAGAACTTCTCAACCATGCAAATGCACAAGGTAGAAATGAATTACTTAGAATATTTAAATCCAATTTCAGCTGTCAAAAAATGTTGGTCCCATGAGATGGTTCAGCAGGTAAAGACACTGACTGCCTGATGACCTGAGTTCTGTCTCCAGGACCACTTGAAGGAGAGAGAACCAACCAACCAACTAAACACACACACACACACACACACACACACACACACACACACACACACACACACACCTATTTCTCTGCAATCTAACTTAGCTATTGTCTATGCTTTGCACATATCTTGAGTATAACCTTACTGAATCATTCCTCTCCCCAGTAATTCTCCTTATATTACCAACGGGTCTCTTCCCTCCAAGTATTTTTTTTTTTTGACATTGAATTTCCATTCTATATTGCTATTTCTTTCCCATTGTCCTATTCATTGTACCCTTACTCATCATACACTGTGGGAAGATCTACAGTGAAATAATAAAAAAGAAGGAGGCAGCATGGACAGTATAAGCCATGAGGACATGAGCCTTACTTCATTTTCTCTACTCTTCTCCATGGCCACCATTTTCAAAGGCAGAACCTGAAATGCCACTTCATCTCTCAGACAGTCCTTATTCTTCCCAAGAGAAATGATAAAGAAACCCGAAGTCCAAATATTGTCCTCTGAAATATAGAGGCCTTTTGCAATCTTTTGTTTTTCCTTGGGCTCCTCTAGGAGCATCAAAGTGAAAAGAAACAATAAAAAGAGTTACTGTGTGTACAAACACTAGAAGTCCATTTCCTTATTTTCCAATCCCCTGGATGACAGAGATGAAATTGATCATAAAATCTCAGGGAGACAATGTGCATATCTCAGAAAAGAAAGAAAGAAACTTTCACCTTTTTTGAACTCTGACTCTAGGAAGAATAAAGCTCTACATTAAAGAGAAACATTCCAACCATTGGTCCCTTTTCATAACCAAACCCAAGTGACAAGGCTCTCACTGACTGCTTGAACCCAAAGAAGCCTCCATCTCTATCTGGTAACTCCTTCAGCTTCCTCCCATAAGTCCTCTGGAATTCCTGACTCCAAGGCTAATCCCCGTCTTCTAGAAACCTTCCTTCATCTTCCCCTAAGCAATAAGGAAAGAGTTATGTAAT